AGGGTTTTCTTCTTGCCCTGGTCTGTGGGGCCAGAAATTTTCCACCTGCCTCGCACCAACTCTGACACCACAGTGCCCACTCTACTGGTGCCAGGACCTCCAGGGCCTCTGGCTCTTTCTTGAATATTGCTCTTTCTATCCCCACCCCCAGTTTTCGCTCCATCCTCACACCCCATACTTCCCAACCCTGAAAGACTTTATACAGGGCAACTGAGACTCAGAGCCAAAGAGCCTGGCTGGGGAATACTCACCCCTCTTTCTGGCTCCCTGGGTACATGTCCCACCTGCCTCCAGACTCAGAGAGGGGGGACCCACGTAGGTGTCCTGCCTGGACCCCAGGGCCTCTCCTCCCTGCTTCCTGCTGGCTGAGGCCGTGGGGAGGCACATTGGGACCTACCTGCAGATAGAACAAGCATTGGGAAGAGGGACAAACAAGGTTCAGGAGGCCTCTCTGCTTTTCTGGTTGCCCTGCCTTTCCACTGTGCCCACCCACTACCATTTCCCTCTCTGGTCTAACTCCCTCCTACTGCTCCAGCCTCTCCCAGGTCTTCCCACCCGTCTTCCTCTGGGCCTCTCCCTGCCTCTCAGCTCTCTCTCCTTCAGGTTGGTCCCTTTGTTCCTGCCCATCGTGATGGGGTCACTGGACCAGGGTCATGGGGACCTGCCCAGGTGGAGATAACCTGAGCTTTTGACTGGATATCAGAAGATTGTGGCAGAGTCCCTACAAGACCACCAGTCAGTTGAGGAGGTTTAGGTGTGTGAACCCCAGTTTCCTCTCTTCATGTATAAACTTGGAATAATGCCTGCCCAGTTTGCTAACTAGGAGGCTTGTGAGAATCAAATGAAGTAATGGGTGTGAAAGCTCTTGGAAAATTGTGAACCCCAAACAAATGAAAGACGTTACTATGGGTGTTCGGGTACTGTTGGTTCAGACTACGTGCTCCTAGTAGGCCTGGTTAGAATCCAAGCCCTGTCACTTACCTGAGATGTGAATTTGAGCATGTTTTTAACCACCTTGGACCTCAGTTTCAAAATCTATATCATAAGGCTAAAAATATCAACCACAAAGAGCTGTTATGAGGTTGAAATGGGATCACATAAAATGCCTGGTGGGCTGTTATCTTTACTATGGTAGTACACATTTATACACTGGGCTCTTTCATGTTTATTTGTCATTATCTGGGGGAAGGAGGCAAGATTAGTTTCATTTTACATGTGTGGAGACACTGAGGTATGCACTTAATAGCCCAAGGTAACCCAGTTAGGAATGGATGAAGTCATATTTGAACACATGTTTTCCTATTTCTAGCCCGGCATCTTTAACAGACAAACAGATAAGCAAATACCCACCATCACAGTTAATAGTCAAGAAGTCCTTACTTTATGTATTATCTATCACTGTATTGCTATGAAACAAAGTGATTGGCTCACCATACAGATAGGAAACTGAGGTGTAAAGAGGTTAAGGCACTTGTCCAGAGTCACCAGCTGGCTTAGAGAGTGCTTGATGACACGCTGGTCCCATCCACCAGGCTCTCCTTACTTCTGGCAGGTCACAGGGCCCAACCCTGGTTCCCAGCGGAAAGTATCACAAGACCAAGACCCCTGTGGGAACTTCTAGCCCCATCTCTAGGCTCCCCATGGTGCTCCCAGCCCTGCAAGAGCCCAGCCACAGTCTCAAGCCATGGCACCAATGTAGAATGGGCACCTGTGCACGGGTTCCAGGAAGAAGACTGTGCCAGGAGGCTCTTGCTGCTGACTCAAGATGCATACAGGCTGCGGCTAGATTCCTGACTATGGGATTCTGGTTGGGTTTGCTCACCTGTAAAAGACGGGCTTCTAAAAATACCAACTTCCCAAGGATGGAGTGAGGACCTCATGAGGTTAGAGACATGGAAGTTTGTTGTAAACGCTAAAGTTTTGTGAGCTGTTATCATTTTACTGTATTGAATGATGAGCATGCGTCCCGAGGTCAGGGAACACTTATAGTAAGAATATGACAGGGATTGAGGCCTGGCAGGCCAGCTGAGTGCCACAATGCCAGGGTCCTGGGCAGATGCCAAGGCTCAGGCCACCACTGGTGGGAAACACAGGGCCCTACACAGCCGGGGCTTGTCCCTCCCCTTGAAGGAGCTTAGCCTGGCCTTTGTCCAGCACCCTCTTTTCTCCCTAAGATGAGCTCACACCACCCTTCAGCCCTTTGGTCGCGCCCCATGGCTGTTACATCTCAGCACAGTTGGTGCTGTGTGTGCCAATGCAAAGGGGGAGAGGAATGACCATTGTCTGCCCAGCTGCTGTGTGCCAGACACAAGCAAGGGCTTTCCTATTTATCTCATTGCACCCTCAGGATTATTAATCCTATTCTACAGGTTAAGAGAAAGACAAAGAAAAAGGCAAGTTAAGTGGCTTGCCGAAGGTCACACTGCTAGGCCTAGGATAAGGACCGGGGTCTGCCTGACTCCAAAACCAGTGCTGTCACCTGATGCATTCTATGCTTCAACATATCCTCACCACCTCTCCTTGCCCAGTCTTGTTGAGGCTTCCAGGGGCGAGTTTGTTTTCATACGAAAATCTAGTCTCCAGACAATGGGCGTGAGAGGGAAACCTGAGCTCTGGTTCATTTGGTTCAGCAGCCGCAAGCAGCTGCCTTCAGGTCCCTAATCACACATAAGTGTGTCCCTGCTCAGCTGGCTGGGGCATCAGGACTCGTGTGCATTTATCCACATCCATTAATTAACCCCAGTGGCTCCTTGGGAGAGTGGCTCCTGGTCCCTGACTTTGGTGAGCCAAGTGTGGTCAGGGACTTGCGATTCCTCATTGAATGCATCCCACCATCCCCAGAAAAATGAGCAAGTGACCAAATCAATTACCTCTGACTCTTAGAAGAAGAAATTAAAAAAAAAATGCTCACCTGGTAGGGATGATGCTGTTGACCGGAACTAGATGTTCTAATGAGGACTTTTTATTAACTGGTCTGCTCAGTAATAATGTCAAATGCTTTTAAGCACAGTGGGAGCTGAGGGAGGGAGACAGAGGTGCCAGAAGTCCAGATCCTGTCTCCTCCACGCAGCCCTGACCACTGTGCCCCCAACGCAAGGTCCCCAAGCAAGGTGTGCTTCCTGCACTATTCCTGCTGTTCCTGGGAGACCTGCCCCCCTGAGCAGCTAGTCAGTGTTCAGCAGAAATTATAGTGAGGGTCAGATGTGACCCCTGGGCCAGGTCAGTTCCCAGATCCTGTTGTCGCTCTGGGGACTTCTAGAGGGGGCTTAAGAGGCAGAGATGATGTGAGGGAGGGTGAAGAGATAGCTGTAAGGAGATAGAGGGAGGTGAGAAGATGACAAGGTGGTGACAGAGACTGGATATCTTGCAGACCAGGACTTGACAGTCAGCTGAGACTGTTCAAGCCCTTCCCATAAGTCCCAACTGCCCACTGGCTTTCTCTACCAGATTTAGAGCACCCAAAGGCTCAGGCTCTCCAAGAGGCAATAGGACTGGCATTCACTGATTGCCTACTATGGCCAGCTGCTGAATTATCTCATTCATCCCTCCCCTGAGAGGCAGCAAAGCCCAGTGGTTAGAGCATGGCCTCCAGAGTCTGTCTTTCTGGGCTTACATCTTGGCTCAACTAGCTTGATCAATATGCTGAGTCTCTGTGTCTCTGTCTTCCCCTATGCAAAATGGGGATAATAAGAGTTCCTACATCACAGGGTTCTGAGGATTAAACAAGGAAATACCCATAAACCATTTACAGCATGTCAAGACATCTATAAGTATACATTAAAGTACCAAATATAAATTAATAAATCCCATGGCTGAGTAAGATTAAGGATCTCGTCCAAGGGTGGTGGAATCATATCTCAGCCTATACCTTCTTTCTCTTCCTACACCCTGTCTTTCCATTTTCCTTGATGTACTGGTGCACATGTGTGTGTGTGAATTCTGGAGTTACTGAGAATAGTGAGGTATAAGGCAGGTCAGGTCTTTTGTTATTTTTTTAAGATTTTTAATTGGGGAATTAGAGAAGGGGAACAGTGTTGGGGAATTGGGAAGGGGGACCAGCCAAGTTGTTGTTCTTCAATCTTAGTTGTGGAGGGTGCCAGTCGCCATCTGGCTGCCCTTAGGCAGCTCATGGCCTCTAAGCTCAAAGTGCTGTGTTCAATCTTAGTTGTGGGTGGGCATAGCCACCATCCCATGCGGGAGTCGAACCAGCAGCTTTGTTGTTAAGAGCACACGCTCTATCCACTGAGCCATCCAGGCAGCAGCTCAGCTCATGGTGATAAGTTCAGTCTTAGTTGCAGGTGGATGTAGCCCACCATCGAACAGGCAATCTTGTCATTACATCAGCTGAGCCATCCTGCCACCTGTTGGCAGCTCAGCAGCAGCTCAGCTTGGGCACAGCGTCCCTGGCCCATGTGGGAATCGAACTGGCGGCCCTGTTGCTCAGAGCTCATGCTCTTAAGCCAACTCTGAACCAACTGAGCCACTTGGCCAACCCAGGTCAGGTCTTTTCTTAAGCAATGCTTTTCATACTTTTTAACAACAGTTCATAGTAAAACCAATATTTTATAACCTAACACACATACACAAAAGAAAAGGGTAGGATGTAGGGAAGTGGAAGTGAAGAGGGTGAAAAGGCTGGTTACTTCTCCTCCAGGGGACCACATCTCCTTGAGCAACCCTCAGAGTGAAGGGCCAGTCCAGCAGCCTCTTCTTTGAGGGTCTCCAGACATGTGTGGCCAAAGCAGATGCTTCCAAGATCCAGGCAAATGGCCCATTGCTCTCTGCCCACCTCTGCAGTGGCTGTGATGGGGCGAGACTGTGGGGAGCTGGAGACAGCAGCCTCTTTGAACTTCATTCCATCTTTGGACACTCTTGTCTTCTCAGATGCTTCCCTGTCCGGCGGCTCTGCTCACCCCCTAGCCGCTTGCTAGGTCCTAGAGTGTGTCTTTCTTAGCTTAGCAGGGCTGACAGCTGGGTGGGTTGGCAGAACAGCCTAAGGGATGCCTTCCCTCTGCTTTCAGAATGCCTCCCCAGCAAGGACGTCTCCAGCCCGGACAGCCCCAGCCCGGGCATCACCTTCCAGGTCATCATCTGCCAGGTCGGCCTCCACAACATCCTCTCCAACGAGAGTGTACCTTGTTAGAGCGGCACCAGTGGGGGCTGTACCTGTGCGGGCATCTCCTGCCACATCAGCACCAGCCACAAGGGCCACCAGTGAGAGCGCAGGTAAGGGAGATGCTGCAGGGAAGGCAAGAGGAACAGGGAAGTAGTGCATGGGTGGGGAGGAAATCTTGGCGTTGGCACTCTCCACTCCTCCTCTACCCCCTGGGTAATGTTGTGTGGGAGGAGGGGGAATGGGCAGAGGTGGCAGTGGGGGATCTGGGGAGGTAAGGGCAGGAAGGAACCATTACATGCAAAACCCAGACAGTGGAACATTGGGACAAATGGGGGAAGGGCTAGGAAACCAGCCAGCAAAGCAGGTGTCACTTTGGCGGCTGCACAGTCTGGGTCAGAGTGCAGGTTTTGAGGGCACGGGCTCCCGGTTAGGCTCTACTAGGCTGGATTCCTCTCCCACAGCCTCACCTTTCCTTGCTATTGCCCTGCTCCTAGGTGTCAGCTTGCCCAAGTTCACCTGGCAGGAGGGCCAGAAGAGGCTGCCGCTCATTGGGTGTGTCCTCCTCCTCATTGTCCTGGTGGTGTCGCTCATCATTCTCTGTGAGTTTAACGGAAGGAGCAGGGCTGGCCCTGGTCACTGCTAGGTGGAGCAGTGTCTGGGGATGGACACGCACCAAGGAGACAAGAGTGGAGAACATACACTTACCCAGCTACTGTGCCCACAGAGGGCCACTCCTGCAAATGGTTTTGGACCATGGTGCCCCCAGACCCTTTGGAAAGACTGGGTTAAGAGTGTGGAAAGTCAGAGGAACCTGGGCTTGGGTCCCATCTGTGTTTCTTGCTGTGCAGCTTACCTGGGCAGTTTAGGCACCACTCAGAGCTCAGTTTCTGCATCTTCACATGGGATTAAATTCATTTGTTTATTCATTCATCCTTACTATGTGCCCAGTAAAGTCTCATAAAGACTTCCCTGGGTTTTGAGGAATAAGTGAGATAATGGCACAATGCCTGGCACAAAATTCCACTCTAAAAATGCTAGTTATTAAAAAAACAAACATAAAAACCCTCATTAGGAAAAGTCTTTCAGGCATTTTCCATCAACGGAATAAAGTGTTCAGCAGTTCAGGCACCCACGATTTCTCCCCTCTTTGGAAAAGACGCTCGGGACATGTGCCCGGGCTCTCTGCCAGCGTGTCCACAATGAACCCAGCACAATGGGAGACCTTAGGAGGGAGCAAAAGGGGAAACACACATCATACTGCCCTATCCTTAGGAGGATTACAGTCTCCTGGGGACATAGTTGGTAAGAATGCAGGCCGAATGCATTTGACTGTGACTGTCAGGAAGAGGTGACAGCTGTGTGGCTTGGGGAAGCAGAGGCCAGCTCATGAAGGCCGTGGGGCCAGATAAGGACCTCGAAAGTGGGAGCGAATCCAGGACAGGGCATCTGAGTGGGATGAGCAGCTGCAGGAAGCACGGGGAAGATGGGCAAGGTCGGCACGGAGAGAGGGAAGGGACCAGCTAACCAGAGACGAGAACATACATTTGGGGAACTGAAGGCTGTCTGTTTGCTTGGCGATGGCATGGCCATGTTGTAGGGAGCTATAAATGCCTGGATGAGGGGTAAGCATTCTATGAAAGAGGCAGCATGTGGTAAAGAGCGGAGTGGGTGATATAGAAGCTCCTGGCTGCAGGGCTGTTTGAGGAAGAGGGCTGTTCCGGGGAGGTCGTGTGCTGGTTAAGAATACAGCTTTAGTACCAGACAGACCTGAGGAAGCATCCCAGTCCTGCCACTTACCAGCTGTGTGACCTCAGCGAGTTAATGGACTTCCCGAGCCTCGATTTCCCCACCTGCCTGACAAGGTGGAGGCGTCACTGTCACATGCATGTAAAGGCCTCGGTATGGTGCCTGTCACATGGTACCCATGTGAACCTCCTCCAGAACTCACTGCCCTGCGCGCCCTCCCTTCCCCACATAAGGCACTGTCTCAGGAGAGCACACTACAACAGTAGTGAGAACAGTAGAAAATAAATTGTGGAGGAGTAAGAGGGCATCTGAGGGCAGGCTCCCTGACCAGTTAGAGCTCTCAGTGTGGTTCACAACATTTCCTGAAGTGCTCTGACCTCTAGACCTCCCAGTGCCAGCTCTCCCCAACCAGAGCTCTCTCCAGAAAGGTTCCGTGCACAGCTTGTGGGAGTGGGGAAGACCAGGGCACGGAGAAGAGGGGCAAGTCCAGGAGATATGGGGGAATTGGTGTCTGGACCTGGAAGGAGCAGTCGCACAATGGTGACCTTTGCCTTGGGTGACTGAGAGCATGGTGGGGCTAGGACCAGGAGTCGCTGGGAGACGAGAGGCAGAGGGAAGAGTCAGAACACAGCTTTCTTTGGCATTCAAGGGGAAGTGTCTCCAAGCAGAAGGGATGACAGTTCCTAGTTTGGAAAGAAATAGGTATTAGAGAAAGAGGGAGTCATGAGGCTGATTTTCACAGATGGTTTGTAAAGCTTGTACATTTGGGAATCAGCCATCTAGAGTTGCTTGTTGAGTGGGAAGACATTTAAAGGCATAAAGACAAGTAATGGGGCGATAACAGCATAGGAGATATCCCTTGTTTAGGGGAGTGGAGGAGGAGGAAGAAAATCCAGGAGGTCCTGAGGTTGGAAGGACCACCTTTGAGAAAACTGGACAGATAGTGGCTGCATGTGTGCGACTGCGGATTTAGAAATTTCTCTGCTGTGATGCTTGCAGAGCACAGAGACAAAGGGAGGCCAGAAGGGTTCTGAGAAGGGGGCTCTGGAATACTGGAGGAAGTGGTTTTTTTGGCCACCACTCTGGCCAGTATGTAGCGCAGGGAACCTCCCATAGTAGTGCCCACCTCCACACCTCCCTCCTTCTCTCTCTCTTCTTCTGTTTCTCTGGGTGGCTGCTCTAGTCTGCCTGGTGCTGCCCTGCTTGCAGGAGCTTTCTGGAGCATTCTGGAGCATTCCTGAGCAGCCTTTCTCTCCATACAGATGGGGGACGAGAGCCCCAGAGTCCAAGAGGGATTCCAGGTCGGTGTCTCAGAACCCCCAGGGCATCGGGCTGTCCAGTGTCTTGTTTCTCTGGGGCTGGCAGTGACCCAGCTGTCTGCTTCATTTTTTCCAGTCTACTTCTGGCGGGGCCACACAGGGATCAAGTACAAGGAGCCGGTAGAGAGCTGCCCCGTGCATTCTGTGCGCTGTGATGGAGTGGTGGACTGCAAGCTGAAGAGCGATGAGCTGGGCTGTGGTAAGCAGCCTGGGCAAGGTGTGCGTGTGCGCATGCGTGTCCTCCGGCGACTCCAAACTCAAATGCGAGGCAATGGTCAGGGAATCAAAGGAACTGTATTCTAGTCACAGAAGGCTTGTGTTTGAAACCTGGCTTTGAGTGCTATGTGACTGGGGCAATTCACTTACCTTCTCTGAGCTACAGTTTCCTAATTTGTAAAATGAGTGGGTTGCACAAAATTAGTGGTTCTCGAATAAAACCTGACAACTCCCAGCTATCAGATTGAGCAAAGCAAAGCTTCTCTGGCTGGAGGCAGGTGTGGGGTCCAGAGCCCCGTCATTGTGCCCCTCCCCTTTGTCCAGCAGGTGACCTCTGACTTTCATCTTTATGGTTTCATGAAGGTTAGTTTGTAAAAGGCTGGCCTAGGTGAGCACAAAGATGTCATTGAGCTCTGGTCCTCAGTGGCTTTCACATGTGTTTTCTATGTACAGCCCTGATGTGGGTGCATGTCCCATCCATCGTACCTGTGTGTTTACGTGTGTCCTTGCCCATGACTGTATCCATCTGTGACTAAACCTGTCCAGTGAGCACTCAGTCAGATCATAGACTTTATTCCCCTTGTCACACTCTCATTTGAGCATGTCACTGCCCTCTAGGGGTGATGGCTTCTGGCAGTGCCTACCCCTTCTCCTAGCAATGGCTCCCTGCCCCCTGGATCCTGTCAGATGGAGAACTTTCAGCCCTACCCTAGCCCCTTGCCTTGGCTCTGCTCTTACTCAGTGTCTTGTGCTTCTGAGAACTGGCTATGATCATCACCACCTGGGCCAAGCTTCTGGGAGTTTCCCAGGCCTCAGCCCCAGGACAGGAGCCTCTCAGAGCCTTACTCAGCTGATTCCCCAAGAACTTGGAGTCTCCTGGGTGCTGAAGACCTGCTCTTCCCTTGTATTGCCCTGTAGTGAGGTTTGACTGGGACAAGTCTCTTCTTAAAGTCTATTCTGGATCCTCCCATCAGTGGATTCCTGTCTGCAGCAACAGCTGGAACAACTCCTACTCAGTGAAGACCTGCCAGCAGCTGGGTTTTGAGAGGTAAACCTTCTCCCAGGGTCCTGGTTTCAGGCCTCTCTGGGGCTGTTTGCAAGTGTGTCTCAGGCTTATTGTAGGAACCTTATATTAAAGAGAATCTTGGGGACCAGGGTTGAAGTCACTAGTTCATGACACCCTTGACTTATTCAAAGGGACAGTGGCCCTGGGGTCTTATGAGTCTCAGGCAAGCTATTTCCATGAGGCCAAAGTAATTCTTTGTAGATCTGCATAAGATCACCCTCCTGTATGGTTCTTTGAATCCAAGCACCCCCATGCCCATTATCACATTTAATGGTCAAGGTAGCCCTGTGAGATAAAGTAGGCATTTGGGCAGGTCTTGTCGTCTTCTCACTTTTGGGAACCGTCAGTGGACTTTGAGCTATAATAGCTGTGGCTTGGGCTAGAGCTCATCAGATGAGAGTGGATGGGCCGGTGTACAGGTAAAGTCATAAGAATTTTTGGCTCTAAAGATTTTAAACAAAGAAGTCAATCCTGGTGGGTGGAGGAGAGATAGGGTGGACAGTGACCTTCTGGCTTGAAAGAGTCCTGATGTGCTGACCACACGGTCATCTCCATCCTCTCTCTTGGTCTGAGTTTTCAAGCCAAGTAGTTTTGTGGTTCACCAACGTGTGTGAGGTTGTGGGAATAAGGGTTTAAGATCTCACTGTGTGCTTTCTGTAGAAGCACCTAGAAAACCAGGCTTGGGGGCTAGGTCTTAGAACCAGTTCTCCATCCCCACGTCAGTCTCAGAGTTTCCATCTGTGAAAGGGGGATCTGGGTGCTACAGTCGGAAGACCATGAATATCTTTTATCATTAAGTTGTATGACCTTATGCAAATCTGAGCCTCCCTTGGGTTTCAGTAGATCGTGTCATTTATTCAAAGAACATTCAGTGAGCTTTTAATTTGTGGCATCCAGACACAAAGGAGCAAGACAAGATCCCTGCTGTTGGATCCCCTAGCATGCTGTGGGCAAGAGAGGCTTAAAACAATAATTATAGCACAATGTGTGAGTAATGGTAAGATATGTGCAGAGTTTTATAGGCACACAATGAAGAGGGTGTCTGGCTGTGCTTGGAGGACAGCAGAGACTGGAGGAGCCCCGAGGTAGAGGAACAGTATGCACAAGGGCACACTCTCATGCAAGAGTGTACCATGCTCTAGAATGCACACAAGAGCAACACGGATAGTAGGAATAGTGGTCCATGGATCATATACATCACAGTGACCTGGGGTACTTGTTAAAATGCACCACAAATCAGAATCTCTGGGATTAGAACTTAGAACCTGCTTAGCAAACACCCAAGGTGATTCTTAGGTACATTGTAGTCTGAGATCCAGTAAGTGAGTAAAGGATTCACAAATTTTACTATATGCAAACCTCATGTTAATAAGGATCTTTAAGATGCAGAGTGTGGCTCAGCAGGTCCAGGGTGATGCTATTCCTGCTGGTCCATGGATCACAGTTTGGATAGAAAAGGGCTAGATCAGTGTTTCTCAAACTCGATCATGCATCAGAATCACCTAGAGAGCCTGTTAAAGCACAGAACCAGAGTTCCTTATTCAGTAGGTCTGAGGTAGGGCCCTAAAATTTCCATTTCTAATAAATTCTCAGATGGTGCTAATGTTGCTCGTCTGAGTGAGGATCACTCTTTGAGAACTACTGGGCTAACACACAGGGCTAGTGGGGAGCAGTGGGGGGATATGTGGGTGACGTCAGGACATATTGGGCCTTGACAGCCTCTGGCCTCTGTCAGTGGGGTTAGCCAGGACTCTGATGCCAGCTGGAGGACTAGGGGTGGACTCTATGTCAAGGGGGTTCATTTTTCCTCTTTCTTCCCTTGCAGTGCTTATCGGACAACCGAGGTGGCCCATAGGGATTTTACCAGCAGTTTCTCAATTTCTGAATACAACTCCTCTGTCCAGGAAAGCCTCTACAGGTATGGCCGGGCTCGCTGTCTGTGAGCAGAGACCCCCTGCACCCTCTTGGTTTTTCTGGGACCCAGCCTCTAGGAGTCCATCATGAATGTGAGGAGCAGCTCAGAAACAGAACTTATTCGCCACCTGCCTCCTAACTTCTTGTTGAGGTTTGGTGCAGAAAGCACCTCACGGTCAGCGCTGTCCTCAAGAGTTTACCTGGTTGCCAGAGACAGTTAATAAACTTTGGGGCCACCAGTCAGCCAGGTGTTTGGAGTGAACATTGCTGTAGGGAGTGGGCTTGGGGTGAAGAGGAGGAGCAGCAGCAGGGGAGTGTCAGGTGCCCATGGTCAGGAGCAGGAGGCATCCGCCTCCTCCTGGGCTTTCTTGTCACCTGTCACTTTGTATTGCAGCCCACCCTTGTCATGACCCCACTGAAGGAGAGGTTGGGGGGAGTGCTCCATCAGTATTTATTTTGGGAGAGGAGAGAAAAAACAGGGCTCTGAGAGAAGGGATGGGGAGGGAAGGGAAGTGAATTAGCTGCATTCTGGATGCCAGCTTTGTGCTAAGCGGTTTGCATACAATGTTGCTGGCGAGCACCGTGGTACTCTGACAGAGGAGCATTAAACCACCTGTTTAATTGTGGAAAGATGCTCGCACAATGGAGTCATGATTTCAAAGCATGTGGATCTGACCACATCTTCCACTAGAAAGTGGGGAGTGGGAAGAAGTGTGTGGGTGGTTTGCACTAAGCCATCCCTACTCCTGGAGAAAACACTGGAATGATCTGTACCCAACAGAGGAGAGAAGGCCAGAATCTCCATTTTCTTGAGCAAAAGAAATGGGACAGGAACGGAGCAAGATTCAATCAGAGAAGGCTTCCTAGAGGAGGTGCCTAACGTACCCTTTTTCTACCTTCTGTCTTTCTTCCTTCAGGTCTGAATGCCCTTCCCAGCGGTATGTCTCTCTCCAGTGCTCCCGTAAGAAGATGCTCTTCCTCCTGGATTGTGGCCTGTGTGGGGTGGGAGTCATGGGGCAGAGGGCTGGGACTTCTCTGGGAGAGATGGCTGGCTCTGGGGGGTCCACCAGGAAGAAGGGCTTAGGCAGCAGACCTGCTTCAAGGCGAGGATCCCGGTACGGCACTGGGGCAGTTCCAGGATAGCATTTTCCTTTCTCCTGACCTTTCAGCCCAGCAACCTTACTCATACCAAGGAACCCATTCAAATCTTCTGGCTTCTGGGCAGGGGGCAGATACTGGGAGAGCAGGTTTGGACCGGCTTAAAGCTCCTATACCAATAGACAAAGAATTAGATTGAGATCTAGACGTAGGGTCAACCTTTACTGAGCACATTTTATGTGCAAGCCACTGTGCCTATCTCTTTACAAATATGATTGCATTTAATTCTCACAAGGCAAGTGCCATTATTGTGCACTTATTGAAATGAGATTGAAATGCTCATTTTGCTTAAGGTCAGACTTCTGGTAGGTGAGGAGCTGGTATTTGACCATGAGTCTGACCCCAAAGCCCAAGCTGTTAATTGGTCCACAGTGCTGTGCTCTCAGTAATGACCAGGTGGGAATGCTCCTCTATATAGGCCAGTCACATGGTGCTATGGACAGAGTGCCCACCCCTTCAGACTACCTCTGGTTCCTCACTCTCTCCCCCTTCAAAGAGAAAAGAACACACGTCTGAACAAACTCCAAGGGCTGCCCTCTTTCTTCATGATTTTGGGCAATGACTCACCTCAGAACATTATTGGAAATGTTCCCTGAAATGAAGCATCTCCAACAGCACTAAATGACCTATTGGGGAACCATGTGGGCACAAGGGCACCTGTGCAACATGGGAAGTTTATTTCTCCTTTGTCTGGAGATGATAGAGATCCTCATCACAGTGCCTATCAATTCAAGTCATGGTAGACTTGATCTACTTGAGTTCCTGAGGGCAGTTCTGAGATTAACCATTGTAACCCTAATGCCTGGCACAATGCCCAGAGCACTGGGCACTTAGTAAGCATTTATCAAATTAATGAAAGAATGAAAGTGGGAAGAAAGAGAAACCTACCTGGATCAAACTTCCCATGGGATGATCCCAGAAAGCTAGCCACCATGTGGGAACTCTGCTTTGGCAGGAAACAACTATTGCAGATCAGATTAAGTGAGCAAAGTGGCATCCATGGGTGGTTGTGTTCCCTCAGGACCAGGCTGCCCCAGTCTTCCCTGAGCCAAGGGAGCATGGCAGGGCTCTGAGAGAAGCAGAGTTCACACATCATCTCTTCTGCTTCCCTCCAGACTGTGGACTGAGGGCCATGACGGGGCGGATCGTGGGAGGGGCACTGGCCCCAGAGAACAAGTGGCCTTGGCAAGTCAGTCTGCACTACGGCACCACCCACATTTGTGGGGGCACGCTGATCGACGCCCAGTGGGTGCTCACTGCTGCCCACTGCTTCTTTGTGTAAGTGGCTGAGGGGGCCAGTGATGTGATGCTACTGGGGCCCAGGATCACCAGAAGGGCTGATCACAGGTTGACTTCTCTCTCCATGGAGGAGGGCTTGGTGCGGGACAGGCGGCATTTGTGTGGCCAGGGCCATGATTTGCAGTTGGTGTTTGGTCCTGGGAGTGTGAGTTGGGGTTATTTGTTCTGAGCTAGGCCCAGAATGAAAAAAAATGCCCTTGTTTTATGACCCCTAAGGAGAGTAAGGGAGGCAGGAAGAAAGGCTTGTGAGCCTACCTCTGAAGAACAGGCTAAATATAAAGAGGATTTGGGTTTGTTGCTGCTTCCTGTTACTTACAGGAGAGGAGCCCGCGTAATCAGGACCACTGTCCCAAGACTTGAGGGGTGAGGATTTGTGGGGAGGGGTTGTGATACAGCCAGCTTCTGACAGTCACCAGCCAGGCTTGTCCCTTTGAGCTGTAGCAAGAAAGGATTCGGGCCTAAAGCACCGTTACTGCTGAGGATAATACTATTGAGATATGTCCCGCTTACCTTATTTGATCCTTGATGGTGTGCAGAGGAGACAATGGGGTGACTGTTTACAGAAGTCCTATTCACCACCTTCCCCTTTCTAATGTAACATGCAGAGTGGCCAGTTAAGAATGGCTTTTTGGAGATAGGGGATTAATTTGGACCCCTGTGCTAAAATAGAGGGCTCCCTCTGGAGGTCATTTCATCCATCCTCCTGCCCCCAAGCTGGTGCTAGGGAGGCAGCTCCTTGTGTGGAGCAGATGCTGCCAGTGGGCTCTGCCAGGCGGATAAGTGGACCATGCGCTCCTGGGGCTCTTGCAGGACCCAGGAGAAAATCTTGGAAGGCTGGAAGGTATATGCAGGCACCAACAACCTGCACCAGCTGCCTGAGGCAGCCTCCATCTCCCAGATCATCATCAATGGCAACTATACTGACGACGAGGACGACTACGACATCGCCCTCATGCGGCTCTCCAAGCCCCTGACCCTGTCTGGTGAGTGAATCAATGCCTGTCCACCCCACCCTGGCTCATCCTAACAGCCCTTGGAACCCAGCCCGTGCACTTGGCAGCATCTGTCGGGGTACCAGAGCTTCAGCATGGTGCAAGTCAGACTCAGAGATCACTTAATGGAATATCTCTATTTTACAACTGGGGAAACTGAGACCCAGAGGTTGGAAGTAAGTTTGCCCTAATTGACACATCTTACATTGCAAATTGGTGACAGAGCCAGGGCTTGGATACAATGTCATCAATATAAATAGATTAAATTGTTTCAGTGGTATTCACTGAGCACTTAACAAGGGCCAGACACTGGGGTAGGCATATTACATCTATGATTTCATTTACTCTTCACAACCAATCCTGTGGAGCAAGTACTATTATTAGCTTCAGTTTACATATGAGTTTTAGCGAGAGATAATTATCAGAGGCCATGGGGTAATAAGTGGCAGCTCCAGGACTGGATCCAGGTCATTCTAACTCCCAAACAATGCTCGTCTCACTTGGCTCTCAGCTAGCAGGTTGTTAACACTGCAGTTGCGGACACAAGATGAGTACACGTTCAAACAACCAATTGCCATGAGGTTGGAGGTGAGGACCAAATGCAGCTGCATGATGGAAATGCTACTGAGGTTATCAGGAGACCAAAGAAGCCTTCATTCATTAATTCATTCACTCATTTGTTCACTTATCAAATACTGAGTGTCCACTTTTTAGTGGGCTCTGTAGTTGCAATTGCAAATAGAACACAATAGGTGACACACATAAAGACAGCCAGTAGAGGACAATGACGTGATGTTGAGGGGAGCTGGGGAAGCCACGGTGGCACAGACGGGGGCATGTAATCAGTCTTGGCAGGTGAGGGAGGCTTCCCTGGGAAAGGATAGCTAAGGTGATCTGGAGTTTCTGGCCTTGGAAGGCTCTCTGGTTAGTCCAGCCTTTCTTGTGCTCTGGGCCTATGAGCTGGTCTTTCCCGGCACATTAGTTATGGAGGCAGTGTCAGTGAGTCAGTAGTTAGCTCATCAAGGTGCTATGAGGAGGAGGAAACCTTGGCAGAGCTCAGTGGGGCAGGGCTGTCCCAGAGCCATGTCCACCAGCGAGCAAGACCTCTGTCCTCGCCCTGCTCCCTCCAGCCTTGTCTGTAGTGCCCGGGACTATAAGGTGAGGGGTGCCCCACTGCCCTTGCCCTGCCCCTCATACACACATGAAAGGGGCAGTCAGTCTGCAGGACCAGCACGGGCCTTCCTAACCTTGTAAAACCCAGGCTCCATTTGGCCAACCATTCGGATGTCACCTCCTACCGCCCCTACCCCCTTAATATTATTTGGAATTTCCAATCAAATTAAACAATTTTAATAACCAAATGAAAAAAACCACATGAAAGGTATTATAATATTGCATATGCTTTTCAGACTATGGCAGTCCCTCTCCAGATTCTGATAGGCCACCGGGCAGGAAGCAGATCTCTAGTCTGAGAATCACAGCTCAGATTTATGTAGTCCTATGGTCAGACCATGTTCCCTGATTTTCGCTTTAGAAATCAGGTCAAATTTTCTTACACTTGTATGGCAGGCTGAGCACTTTGAAGTCATAGTGTTATCTAAGAAAACTCGTGAAAACTCACAGGTAAATTTAATTACCCCATAAAAATTAGTGGACTATCTAACAGTTACATATTTTTAAGACTCTATGTCTCAAAAATGGGCATACAATATTTTAAGAAATTATGTTTTGCATTTTTTGTTTATAATTGATGCTACCCCTTGATTTATTTTTGTTTGTTTACTCTCTAGCAGACAAGTGTGTTAGATACCAGTGCTTAAAGCCCAGTTTATAGGAGAATTTAACATTCATTCTCCCTCCCTCCTATCTCTCTTTCTTTTAACGTTTGTTGAACACTTCATATGTGTCAGGCACTATTCTAAGTACAGGGAGTTGCAGTGAACAAAATAAACAATTGAGAACACTACAAACATATTATCTATCAACTAATATTTTGTTATTGCAAATTGGACTTTGGTGGTTGATACCCCAGTCCATCTAGGGATACGAGTCCTCAGAGGAGCTTATGAAGTGGTACACAACAGCACCTTCTAATTGTTTTTGATCATGGGAGCAAGTGAGCAGCAGCTTTGTGGTCTGTGCCTTTAAGGAAGTGCTCTTCCAGCTGGGAGAGGTGTGGTCTCACCCTGATGGAGAGCCTTGGGCTCTGGCCAACCAGCAGGTGCCTTCCCCAGACCAGACTGGCCACTCCACTGAGACACCATGGCCGTAATATATGGGACTTAGCCTGCTGCTGCTACTTGTTCTGATGGTCACACAAGGAAGAAGCTCACCTAGGAGAGCCACTCTGAGTGGGGAGAGACCCACAGTCAGTCAGTATCCATTTGGCACAGGGGTGCCTCCAAGGCATATGCTTCAGCCCTCATGGCATCCACTGAAATCAGAATGTTTTAGGGGACTCGAGCAGAACTGTGAAGGCAGGGGGTCAAAAGAAAGTGATTGGTCAGTCCGAGGCCTTGGAAGATTCCGAGCTACTCTGTGGACAAGGAGGGGCCTCCTAAGATACTAATACGCCTGTCCTTCCACCAAAACCTCTAACCTTGTCCCTTCACTGAAGTCTTGAGGTCTTCTTGCAGCTCACATCCATCCTGCCTGCCTCCCCATGCATGGACAGACCTTCAGCCTCAATGAGACCTGCTGGATCACAGGCTTTGGAAAAACCAAGGAGTCAGATGGTGAGGGGGAGACATGCTAGGTTCTGTGTTTGTGTGTGTGTGCGTGTGCCTGTATACATGTGTATCTGTGTGGAGTGTGTGGGGGTGATGTGTCAGGGTAGATAGGCGAGGGCCTATCTAGATGAAGGTTTGGGTATATAGATTCATGGGCCTGGATGTGAATGTGTGCATATATACCTGAGTGTATGTCAAAACAGTCATTGTGACAATGTCCTCCAGCTAAGACCACCAGGAAAACCCTTATGGTTGAGCAAGTTAGGTTCGTTGCTCATCGCACTGAGGGACACCATGGAGAACCATGGCGCTTTCGATAAGAGGTGTTAGAAAGGACACAGCACAAGACTTGGGTGTTTGGGGGGGATTCAAGGAAGTGGATCATTTCTTTAGATTGGATGCTTTTAGGAAGCAGGATAATTCTATGATTGGGTCTCTAAAGAATCTCATCTAGAAGTTATGAATAGACTGGGTCTCAAGCTGTGCTTGGTAAAGAAGCAACAGCCACTCCTATTGTCTAGGAGGGGGTGTTTAGTGCTGTTGCGGTTTGCACAGTGACCTACCTTGTTTTCGTCTATACTTAACCAGGTTATGAAATGGTTTTGTTTCGTCTCAGCTCGTCATGGCCACAGAGTGGCCTTGTCTGAGATCAGCTCTATAAGGTTGTTTATATGTGACAGGACAGCGCCATGACCTGGCTGGCCAACAGTGAGACTCAGGTCATATTCCCTGCTCAGTGTGGTGGAGTGCTGGCTGGCCAAGGAGCAGCTTTTTCTGTTCTTGGCTCCATAACTGATTAGCTGTGTGGGCAGGTCACGTCAGTAATCTTGAACATCTTTACCTGTAAACGGATTAATTTTACCTGTTTAAGGCACGTAGTTACTGAAAACAAATGAAGTGGTATATTGGATGGTGCTTTGAATACAGAAAAGCATTGTGCAACGTGCAAGCTAGCTTGATAGGCTGTGAGTCTGTCCATGTATGTGTATGTCTTTGTTCTATGTAGTGAGTTGTGTCTGCTACAAGGGTGTGTGTGCCTACACGTTCTGAGTGGCCAGGCACGGGAACGGTGCCCTCCACTCCCAGGAAGCTGTGGTTCTGGGTGCTGGGGTGGGCAGCTAGAAGGCCACAGAGCTGTCCGGAGTCTTAATCCCTTCCCATTCTCTCTCTCCTCCCTCCACCTCACTGAAGAGAAGACATCCCCCTTCCTCCGGGAGGTGCAGGTCAACCTCATTGACTTCAGGAAGTGCAATGACTACTTGGTCTATGACAGTTACCTTACCCCAAGGATGATGTGTGCTGGGGACCTTCGGGGAGGCAGAGACTCTTGCCAGGTGGGACTGCTTCCAGGTGGGGTTTATTTTCCAGGACCCCGGGGGAAGTGGGGGAGGCTGGGCTGTTGGGGTTGGAGTGGGAATCGTGTGCCTACCGTTTCCTGCTCAAGGACCACCGCTCCCGCCCTGCTGATGTGTATGTTCTCCCCTGTAGGGAGACAGTGGGGGGCCCCTGGTCTGTGAGCAGAACAACCGCTGGTACCTGGCAGGAGTCACAAGCTGGGGCACGGGATGTGGCCAGAGAAACAAACCCGGTGTGTACACCAAAGTGACAGAACTCCTTCCCTGGATATACAGAAAGATGGAGGTGAGAGCCTGCATGGGGCACTGACCAAGGAGGTGGGGACTGCCGAAGACAGGGTGCCTGGAAGAAGGCCCAGGCTTTCCCCAGGGTCTCGGCAGAGGTTCCCTCACACCCTCGTATTTGGGGGGAGGGGGGGGGGTTGCAAAGTGCAGAAGACCAGGACAAGCAAGAAGCAAATATCGGGCCAACCCCAGTTTCCTGTGTTCCTTTCCTTCTCTTCCTTCTGCAGAACAGAGCTCCAAGTGTTTGGAAAGGGGTGGGCCTAAGCTGGGTGCCGGCCCCAATATCACTCTCTGCTCCCAGTGGTGGCTGAGTTGTGAATACACATAGGCCGCTGAGAGTAAGAGGCCTCCCCTCTTTGGCAGAAAGTTGGTCCCATGGGGACCTGGGGGTCAGGAAACGGGGGTTCACCTCTACCTTTGCTGACCCAGCTCAGCCCCTACATTACCTGGGCCTACTGTCTTAGCTGTAAAGCAGGCATGTTATGCCCTTCCCTTCTCCGCCTGGGCAAGGGAAGAACAGTAGAGAGCTCAGATGGGGACAGAGAAAGGCTGCTCCAGAAATCTAGTGTGCGGGTCTCTCAGAACCTGCTTCCATCTTTTTCTCTTTACTGTGCCTCCTCTCTGAGGAGCAGTGCCAGGTGATAGGTGGGCTGAACTTTAGGCTCTGAACCCCCACCTTTTCATCCACATTATGGGCCCACAATGCATACCCTCACCCCATTCTCCCCATTCTCTTCCTCAGAGTGAGGTACGCTTCCGGAAATCCTAAGCAGCTGTCCTGTTCCACCTCATAGCACTGACTGCTGCAAAGAATGGGCCATTTGCAACATCATCTGGGCTAAAGGCCACCAGACACCTTCGTTACTGCCATCTCCACTGTCTGTTGTCTCTGGGAATATACACGTACGTGTGTGTGTGTGTGTGTGTGTGTGTGTGTGTGTGTGTGTATCATTGCTCTCCCAAGTTCTTCAGAAACCAGGAGAGTTATCAGCTCTTCCCAAACCCCAGGCTGGAAATAATAACCTGGAGACAACAGTTTGGGCACCATGGAGGTTTCTACAGGGGTGTCCACAATGGATGGAGGAGGTAGGGCCCTGGGAAGAGCCTGGAAGGCCCCCACATCAGGAATTCTTGCTCCTTGGACTTTGACTCAGGGACCAGCCCAGGTGACACCACCACTATCCAGGAACAGTAACGGCTTCCGTTGGAGTGCCTGGACTATCCCTAACAGGAAGATGTTCCCGATGGCGTTACAAGCTTCCTGTTCTCTCAGACCTCCTGCCGGTGCCATGGGTGTAGACAGGTGACTGCCCTGTAGATGTCCATGCTGACAACTGGGAACAGGGCTCCTGTTCTTGTTTAGTGACAGGCTGTTGGGAGCGGATTTCATTTTATTTTTATATTTAAGAAATAGAAGTAGATGTATTTTAAAAGATTCTCCAAAAATTCCTGGAGTCAGGACAGCCAGCATCAGTCACTCCAAGAACTCTGAGGGACTCACGGAAGCTGTGCCGCTCCAGAGTCCTGTGGAATGTTTCAGGCCTCAAGGGACCGGATGAAGTGGCCCCTTTGAGACACTCAGGGAATGACTCCTCATTTCAGCTACTGGGGAAACCCAAGACAAAGACAGCCACAACTGTTGCTGCATCAAGGGCTACAACCAGGACATAAAGAAACGGATGCTGCTTTTCCTTGGGCCCCTCAGACTGTGGGGAAACTCAGTTGGACAGTTATCCCTCATTCCCAGTGCTGTCCTGGAACTTGGGAGTTTCTTTTCAGCATTCTCCAGCGTTCACTTCTCAGTTGTTCCAGAAACACAACACCGATATGAAAACTGCCATGGAGAGAACGCTGGCACTCTCCCTAGGCTCTCCAAACAGCTCTTCTAAAGGATTCCAGTTACCCTGCTTCCGCAAGCCATCAGTGTGCCTGACCTCCTCTCCAGCTGAAGGCCTGGACCTTCTCCAGCCTTTTTCCTGGGACACCTCTTCCTTCCCAGTCTCCTTCTCCCCATCTTGTTTGGGCCTGTCTGTTGGTGCTATGACTCCCAGAGGCAGGGTTCAAGCAGATCAGCCCAGCCAAGCCCAAGGAGGTGGCCACTTGGTGGAAAGATTGCACTTGAAGAGCAGGCTGGAGTTGGCTAATGTTGCTGTTCCAGGGCTGAGGGGGCTGGTTACGTGTTTTCAAGGCTGAGGGTGGGGTGGGGTGGGGGAGAGAGCAACATTAATTTTCCACAGCAGCCCTGAGCAATAGTCTTCAGCAATAAAAGTTTCATGACCTGAAAAATTTGTCATTGGGTGCTCTACTGGTACCCTAGGTAGAAAATTGAAATTGCCCACCCAGGTATCCCAGCATCCTCAGTTTGGATTCTGAGTTTTGTTCCTTAGCTTTTGGTTCTGCTCACTTAATCGTTCATTCATTCATTCATTCATTCATTCATTCATTCATTCATTCACTCACCAACTATATTAGTGCCTGTTCTGTGTCAGTACTCCTGCCAGGCCCAGGAGATAACAAAGACCAAGATGGTGTCCTTTGGAACCATTGATCATGATCCAGTGTGATGCAAGCTATGATTGAGTTTGGGCACCATGCTTGAAACTTGGATGAAGAAGCCACCAGTTGTACTGAGATAGGTCAGGGAAAGCTTTCACAGAGGAGGTGAGGTTTGAAATGAGCCTTAAAGAGTAGCTGAGCTTTCACAAAGCAGACAGGGATGGGGCAAGAACACTCCAGTGTATATCCTTTTTCCTTGTTTGTTTTTCTTTCCTTCTTCTTTCTCTGCCTCTGCCTTTGCCAACTCAGCAAGCTACATGTTGACAAGGAAGCCCCAAATGCTTACTCAATTATTTCCAAGAACGTTGGATGAATGGTTCCGTTGGTTTCCATCCAATGGCTTCATGTGAAAGATATATTTCTTCTTGCTCTTCACTTACTTTTTCTGCATTTAATATATTCACCTTAACCATTATGATTATACTGTTGAGTGCCCAGCACCCCCAGCCCTTACTACACACACTCACACCAAACCTGTCACCAGCACAAAATTCTCCAAGCTGGCTCCTGTGGGCTTGGCCTTTAGACACCCAAGTTTGTTTTTATTAGTCTCATATCAATGCCAGGGCAAGTTCTTCTTCCAATTCTTTTCTTGCTCCAACTGGACAAGACAGTATGGGAAGGGGGCAGATGACAGGCTAGCTGTATTAGTAGTAGGTATAACACAGTAACTGTAATAGGTCCCACAATTTCCCACAATCTCAGTGGATTAACTCTATAAAAGCTTATTTATCATTCATCTAACCATCCAATGAGAGTGGTCAGTGAGAGGCTTTCTTCTACATGGTTTTCAGGGACTCCGATTCTTTCTACCTAGTGACTTTGTCATCTGCTTCAGGCCAGTGGAAAGAGGAAAATAAACACAAAGAAAGCACATTCACTTCTCAAATGTTCTGGCCCACAGGTGATAAACATCATTTTCACTCACATTTTATGGGTGTCAACATGTCACATGGTACCACCTAAATCAGGGGTCGGCAAACTGCGGCTCACTAGCCACATGCGGCTCTTTGGGTACTTACATGTGGCTCTGAAGTAAAATTGAAAGTGAAAATAAAACTATCATAGTTTCATTTATAAAAAATTTAAAGGATATTATTCACATAATGGTGATTTCATTTGTTTTATGGCTCTCAAATAATTTTTAAACTGATGTGAGGGACAGGATTGGCTCTTCCATCTCAAAAGTTTGCCGACCCCTGACCTAGCTGAAGGAGGACTGGGAAATGCAGTCCTTGGCCAGTTCCCATGCAAGAGTGAACACTCATTTTGGAGAACAACCAGATATTTTTGCCCACCAGAGGAAGCTGGTCATCACAAAAAACTAGGCCTTGGAGCAGAGAGTTAGGGCTTAGGCCATTTCTGTTCCTTTATCCTTAGAAACTAGACCCTTTCCCTCCTCTCTCAGGCTTTCTGGGGCATAGACTGATTTCCAGGGTTGCAGAGGTATGTGTGTTGGGGGAGAGAGAGGTAAGGTAGAGAAAAAGCAGTCTGGATAGGAAGAGGAAAATACCTTCCTTAGGCACAGAACATCTATAAAGGCTACAAAAATTATGGAAGGTGGGTTATGAAACTTCCCAAATAGGTCCAGAATCTCCAGGGATGTGTGTGTGTGTGTGTGTGTGTGTGTGTGTGTGTGTGTTGGTGGGGGGAGATGTTGCTGGTGATGTTGTCCTATGGTCCCTGGATCTCAGGCATCTCCGGAAACCAGTCAAACTCTCCAGTTTTGTCAACTCTGTTGACTGCTGAATTTCCCTGGGGAGGGAGAAGAGGGCCAAGTGAGTGTGTTGGGAGTGGAGAAGATGATGGCTCTTTGGAGAAGAACCAGTTACAGCCTAGCTGCCCATCCAGCTGCCTCTGGGGTTTGGTTTGACTCCCAAGGCCATTGTTTCCCATAATTGCTCAGCCAATGTCCTGATGCAATTGGGAGGACACTGGGAGATGCACAAGGAGGGCTCCTTGTAATGATAATGATGGGGATAATGATAATAATAGCTAGTATTTGCTGAATGTTTGCTATGTGCCACCTGCTGTGCTAAACACCTGAAGTGTATTATCTCCTGTAAGCATGAAATAGGCATTGTTATTATCCCTATTTTATGGATAAGGGAAAAAAGGCCAAGGGAAGTAAAATAATCTTCCCCAAACTACGTAACTGCTAAGTGGTGGAGTTGGATTCTGAATCCAGGCTGTCTGATTTTAAAAGTTGCTTTTCAAAATCAGGTGGAATCCTTCCAGCTTTGACCTCGTAGGATCTGCCACCTGGGTCTGTGGATCTTTCTATTCTCCACTGGGCCTCTGATGTGGTAGGAGTAGGGTGGGACAACTCCCTAGAGAAGGCTGGGCACAATCCCTCAAGAGTGTCACATGACCAGAGGCTGAGACCATGCCGTTTCCAGAACCTGGGACAAGTGCATCACGAATGGGAGGAGGTTCCCTGGCACCTCACCCACCCCTGTCCGAAGTGGATGGTTTCTGGGAGGCCCTCCCATGCTATGACAAGCTGTCATCCCAGGACACCTCCATGTCTCATTGATGTGGGTGGGTGGCTGTGAGAGCCACATGCCACTCATTCTCTACCTCCTCTGCATGGGCACAGGCTTCCTGTTCCTTGGAAATCTGCCGCCCAGTCCAGTCAGCAAGCTCCATACTGGTCTTACAATGGGCCCACGCAGAGAAAACGGAGAACTGTGTTCTGGAGATAAGCAGCCCAGGCTGTCCAGGCAGGAGGCTTTATTAGATGAGTCCCCTGAGAAGGGGAGGTCATGACCTGGTCTTTGGTCCATCACATCTCAGCTCCTGCCAGCAGGACAACTGGACATAAGAGGGCTCTCTCTCTCTAAGCCCTGAGTCCCAGAAGATCTTCACTTTTAATACAAGGAGGGAGCTGGGAGTCTTTTTTGAATAATTCCTTCTAATTACACCATGTTTTAGTGGGAGAGAGCACAGGAGTGAGAATCGAAGTACCTGGAGGTACAAATTCCAACCCCACCACTTACACCTTGGGCAAGCTAACCTCTGTTTCCTCATATGTAAAATAGGTGTTCTGTCTCACATATTGTTGCAGGATTACATGGGATAATATAGGTAAACATGCAGGCCAAAATGATGGGCATACTGTGACCTCTCAACAGATGTTGAATTTGCAGCAAGAGGGCCAGATCCTTCACCTCCATATCACCTTTACCAAACAAATGTGCTAGGAGAGGGAAACTTGGCTAAATCTTTGGGTCTTAGGCCATTTGTTGTTTCTCTGCATGAACTTTCCTCTTAGTCTTTCAGCAATGAGCTGATTTTCCATGGAGATGACACTACCACCTGAGGCAGATGGATGTCCCTTACTGGTGGTTTGTCTAAGTCATAGAGCTTCCCTGAGTTGAGCTCACCGTGCTCTTTCTTGTCACTGATGAGACCAGGATGGCTATCCGTCCCTGGCCCAGCTCAGGTGGTCTGCTTAGCCAATGGAGCTGACATTCGTGGCTGTGAGGGGGCACACATCCTTGTCCCTCATGGACTCCTCAATCCATAGCCATGTGGCTCCTGCCCCATCACGTCAGTGAACCGCCATGTTGCCAAATGTTGGGCCCTTTTAGTCCTCTTCTTAACTCTGCAGAATTTAACTGCTGAGTGATCCGTACTTTGTGAAATTGCCATGGCTTCTGTGGCATCAGGCTTTCCCACTTTCCCTTCTTGTCCTCTGACTGGTCCTTTTGTCTTCCACAAGCTCCGTACATGGTGTTCCCCAGGAGACCACCCTCAGCTCTCTTCTCATCGGAAATGCTTGCTCTGAGCCATCTCATCCATTCCTGGCATTTCCAACCAACATCTGTGGAACCAGCAGGAATTTGCCCCACGTCACTAATGCACAAGAAATGTCACATTTCTTTTTAAAAGCAGATTAAAATCTGGCTTTGAACTGCAGCAGACTGGCCAGAAAACATCCCTCACCATGTTCTCCCCTGGAAGTGTAGCCTCAGGAGAACCTGCCTACTGCTTTCTAGGCTAGGTGCGCAGCCTTCGCAGGCACCTTCTGAGGATTTTACAGGCAAAGGGAGTAGCTCACAGACCTGCTGCTTTTGGGGCCCTTGTCTCAGGAATCCCACTCTCCTGGGTCAGGCTCAGTGTCCTCCTCTCCCCTCAACCCCTCAAGCCTTTCTGCTTGCAGACAGCTCAGACCTGTCTCTCTTATGAATGTTGCACTAAGGTCTATAAATGCTCTTTTGGGTTAAAGCCATTCCTTCCTGAGGTGATTGTGGCAGAAATCGAGATGAGCATAGACCTCAATAATCATGTACAGATTTTCATGTAACCTAAGTTTTCATTCCTGTAGGCCAGGGGTTGGCAAACTGCGGCTCGCGAGCCACATGCGGCCCTTTGGGTACGTCCCGTCTCAAAAGTTTGCCAACCCCTGGAAGAGCCAATCCTATCCCTCACAACAATTTAAAAGTTATTCAAGAGCCATAAATATATTTTTATATAATCACCATTATGTGACTAGTATCCTTTAAAAATTTTATAAGGGAAACTATGATAGTTTTATTTTCATTTTCAATTTTACTTCAGAGCCACATGCTTGCAAGCCGCAGTTTGCTGATCCCTGGTGGCTCT